TAAACCCCTAAGCCCCTAAACCCCGGAGCCCGGAACCAGGTCTCTCTTGGCCCATCCTGGGACTCTTCCGGCTCCACGACCGGGCACAGCTCATCCTGCACGGCTCAGAGCTCTGCAGAGTTTGGGGTTTAGGGTTTAGGGTTTAGGGTTTAGGGTTTAGGGTGTAGGGTGTAGTTTAGGGTTATGAACTGTAGCAGGAGGGCTGTCTCGCAGCATCATAGGTGACATTTCAGGGTTTTTGCAGCAGTAGTTGCAGCATGATCATGATGGTGATGTGCGCAGCATGGGCAGACGGCAGCAGGACAGGATGCACAGCAAATGCGAGATGGGTAGTCACGAATCAGATTGCTAGCTGCAGGTCTGGATTCTGACCACATCTGGGCCGAGGCAATTGCATGAACTGCTGCCAATCCGCTGGGTGTGGGGATGAGGGCTCTTTTCCTGGACTTCTTTAGCACGCAAGCGGCTCGGATGAAGCCGACGCTGCGCCGGAGGTTGGAATGAACTCCACGGGCGTGCGTGCGAATCATTCGTCATGAACCAAGATTGAGTGAAAGTATGTGAACCTACTTTGGACCTGTCAGCCGCCGTCTGAGGGCCTCTGCCATCATGCTTGGTGAGACTGACCTGAGCAACTCACTTCGCAGAGGCCTTACCCATGCCTTCCATGCTATAGCAATGAATGAGCACTCAAGGCGGGTCCTTAAGCCCCAACCCCTGAACCTACCAGTAGATTCTGAAGCCCTGATTGTTTCGAGTTTGCGCTGTACGACTGTGCGGAACCCTAAACCCTGAACCCTGAACCTTAAACCCTAAACCCTAAATCCCTAAACCCTAAACCCTAAACCCTGAACCCCGCTACAGTAGCACCTGCTCTAAGGCTCTGACACTGGAAACTTGGGAGCGGTGCAGCGCCCCCGGAGTTGCTGCTTCGGATACGATTTCGTTGTTTGGTCGTCTTGTTGTGAGCCCCGTTCTTTAGTTTTTGACTTCCTTTGTTCAGCCCATCAATGCTTGTCATGATACTTCGCATCAGATTACGAACTTTGTGTTCTGCTTGTTATTTGCTTGTCGTCGTTTGCCTGTTGTGGTTCTGGTTCTGGTTCTGGTTCTGGTGGCGGTCGACATCGTCATCGTCGCTTGCCGCTGTTTGTGCTGCTTGGTGGCGGGGAAAGGTGGGGGATTGGGGGTGGGGGTGCCGGCAGACGCTGGTGCTGGTGCTGGTGGTGGCACTGGTGGTAGTGGTAGCGATAATCAGTGCTATCGTTGTCATCAGTGTGGATCGTCACTGTGAGGGGGTTTTGTGTCTCTCTTTAGTGTTCCTGGTCCTTCCTTTCTTCTTGACTGAGTGAAACTACATATTCATATTCTGCATTGTATATTATCTGTTTATACATTGTAAATGATGTATGATATGTTTATGAAGATGCCCAGGCACAACTTCGCGCGCTTCTCGCTCCACACCCTGCTTCCAGGACTGTCGCGAGCCTCCGCCTCGGATGACCTTTGAACTTGATGCTGCGACGACTTCCGCAATTTACTGCAGCAATCTCCGGCAGTTTCTTGGGGCATTCTACCACCGCCACCGCCACCGCCACCGCCACCACCGCCGCCGCCGCCATCACCAGCAGCAGCAGCAGCAGCAGCACCACCACCACCACCAGCACCCACCACCAGCACCACCACCAGCATCACCACTGGAATTGGTGAGCAGCAGGTGGTGTATCTGGACGTGGATGTCGTTGTCAAGGGAGACCTCTCCGAGCTCTACAACGTGAACATGAGTACTGCGCTTAGACGGACATGACCTCCAGCCTCGAAAGTTACATCTGAGCGAGAAATGTAAAGGACCGCAGACTTTATTCCAAGGCACAGTGAACGGTGCTCCGGGCACGGTGGCAGCTGTCCAGCGAAGCAACCAGCCTCTGCGGACTTACGTCGACGTTCTGCAGCCAGTGCGGGACTCACAACCACCACTGCAAAGATGCCCTAAATCCTGAAACTGTTGAGTAATTTTCTGCTCGAGCTCGTGCCGGCTATTCGAGGCCGTTCCCAGCTGGCTGCCCAGCGAAGCGCCCTCCTTCAATGCCGCTCGTCGACATCATGACATCCATAGCAACAATATCCGACCGATGCGCTCGTCATGCTCCTTCTGTGACTACGAGAGTTCTATACATGGCATGCAGTATCAAATATATAGTATGCAATACATGTTATATCATGCATACGAACTATGCAAATAAAATCTAATGATATACACGCGTGCATATACATGTGCATATACATTGCACCTGCACCTACACCTACCATATATACATATACATATACATCTACATAGTGCATACAATCATACATACACTTCTACATGTATATCGTATGCAATACATAACATGTGATACATACTATACACATTTGTACATGGTTCACATTCTCTTTTACTACTGTATGCGTGTTTGTACATATATGTACATTCACATGTAGCTTGTAAATATGTGGATATATACATATATGTACACACACACACAGACCTATGTGTATACAATGACATATAACATGAGGCCATACAAGATACAACATATACGTAGTATATGATATGTAGTATATACAGTTATGTAAGGACAGCATACAGCATCAACTATACAATGTATTTGCATATACACACATATGAACTGCATTCTAGTCGTCTTCGTGTTTCTACTCTTCCTGGCTACCATCGCTGAGCTGGGTCCTGAGATGTGCTGAGCAATGAAGCGTGCGAGGCGGGTGTAATGGTCATCGACCTTGCGCGCTGGAGGCAAGGTTCGTGTTTCCGGGCCGTATTTCCGTATTAGCGGCACCCTCGGCAGTGAGGAATTTTAGCTGACACATGTCGCACAATGCGCAGCCCTAAATGCAGATTATGGGATGGGGTCGCTCATGGTTGTTGTTTTCAATGTAAATCCTGGCTGTGCCTGTCTATCACCGGTCGCAGGAGTATCAGTTGCACTTCGCATCTTTCTCCAGCCCCGGAATAAATTCTGGCTGTACAGGCAGCGCCACGCGTCACGCTTGGTTGCGGAGTGGATCGAAATGAACTCGCCGCGACCCTGGGCTTGCTTGGATTCTACCAGGTTACCAGGATTGAGCCCGGCAGAGTCCAGCAATCCAATCCGGCAGCTCTCTGAGACGGCGGGTTCGCTGCCCACTTAGGAAAAGGCGCCTGTGGCTGCACGGATCTCAGCCGCCACTCCTACTGCTCTTCCATGACGAGGCCTGGAGCCTTCTTTCGCACTCAGTTGGTGTTGTGGTGCTACCGCTAATGCAGAGGCTGGTTTGGGGCTGGCTGTGAATGGCGACGGAAGACACATTCTGCAGTGCTCATGATTAGCGAAGCCAAGAAGAAGCAGGTGAAAAATAGTTGGGCTGGTATGGTGATGTCAACATTGTCGTAGCTGATGCCATTGCCTCCACCAGCCACCGCCACCAGCGCCGCCAGCGCCACCGGCGCCCTCGCCAGCCTCGTCACCGCCGTCGCCACCCCCGTCGCCACTAGCAGCAACACCACCACGGCCACCACCGCCATCGCCGCCGCCACCACCACCGCCACCACCGCCACCAGTATCGTCGTGGTGGTCATCCCTGTCATCATCGGTAAAGTCATCATCGTCATCACCATCATCTGCATTAACAGCATTTGCACCGTCATCGTCGTCGTCGTCCTCCTCCTCCTCATCATCATCACGATTATACTCACAGCATCACCATGCATGAGCATTATGATCGTGGTCGTCGTCACTATGACTCGGCCCGGAATCCCCACAAGATTCCGCAGGTGGTGTCTCTGCATTGGTCCTGGAATGTGGACGGGCTGGGGCATCGGCTGAACTACCCCAAACATGTGCGGCGTGCTTAGCGCTTTGCCATGATCCAGGGCGGCAGGTAGAGGGCCATTTGCGAACGTCCGGGGCTATTTGGTGGAATCGCCAAGCCAAGCTTACGACGGATCATTTAGCATAGTTCTTCGGCCAAATGGCTACGGCTAGGATGGCAAGAGTGGACGAGTTGCAAGCATGGCAGTTTTTCATACCAGCCCAGCTGACCGTTTGACATTTCTTCCTGACCCTTGCTCCCGTGTGATAGCGGTGGAACCCGCTGTACCCGAAGCTTTTTGTCATCAACTGTTTTGATCGTTGTCTGTGTCCTGCATAGAGGCATGATGTGAAGATCCATGGAAAACACTTAGCCTCCTTGCAGGACGCCTGTACTACCTTGGCGCTCAGTGCTCCGTTAGCCCTCAACCCGATACCCCCAAAGCCTGGATCTCACGGTTTGAGTGTCAAAGAAGGGTGCTCCAGATACGACAACGCGGAAAGTGGCGGAAGCAGCAACAACCACGGTCGCGCAGGACCTGAAATTGCAAGAAGGACTGCAGCAAATTGCTGAATTCATGAGCGGAAGCATGACATTGCAACATGTTGCATAGTTCCTCCTGTAGAGCGCTCTTGCTCATTTCGCCCTGCGCCTCCTGCCCTCTTGACCTGGCCGAGGCTGGCAGAGGCAAAGGTGGGCCGGGAGGGTGCTGATGTAGGCGTTTCGAGATACCGAAAGCTGAGCATCCAAGTCCTCAGGTGCTTCACTGGACCGGGCCTTTGAAGCCTTGGCGCCATCACGGTGTGAACCGCAAGCTGTGGGAGCCCCACACACGCGAGTGGGGGGCTCAGCGTGGCCTCAGCTGGCTTTGGAGGGCCCCTGCGACGAAGTGTGTGAGGTACAGTACGTACCGTTCTGTTAAGGCGCTGAGAGTTGATGTTTTCAGTTGCAGATGGCCAGTGTGTGAGGTACTGCCCGAAGTATTCCAACCGGGAGCACACGACGACTTGCCGGCCGGACAGCTGGTTCTGCTGAGCGCAGAACCAGCTTCTCGATTTGTACATAGGACTTCAGGAGGTCGGAAGATGTCCTCCTGGGATAATGCACCGTTGCAGCTCGAAGCTGATGGCAAGCAGCTCCAAACGAGCAGCAAAAGGGGCTGAGAGTGGGGCTTTGCTGGATCAAAGCCCTGAAGTCCTGAAACCCTCAGACCCTCATGCCCGAAATCCCGTGGAACTCAAAGCCCAAACCCTCGAACCCCATCCCGGCTCCTGCTTCCAAGCTCAAGTGGCTAGACCTGTCAGTGGTGACCATCATGACCATAATCATTGTTGTTATCGGTATCGTCAGTATCATGATCATTGTTGGCCAAAACGGAAGCTCGTCATGCTCTGGTCATGAGGCTGTACTTGTTGCTAGCATGGCTTGGCCTGATCGATGGTAATCTGGTGCATGGTTGAAGACCGGCAAGTACTACGTCGCCCTTCCATTCTGGACATTGTACTCAGAGCAATTATCAGCATTCTTATTCTTGTTCTATCTTTCTACGTAATCGCATTATTCTCATTTCTGGGCATTTTTTCTATCAGCCATGCCGGTTCCACCTGCCGGCTCGGTGCCTCTGCTGTCCTGGATGGGCTGCCTGCTGCAGAGGAAGCTGGGGCTCTGGCCACACCAGGTGACGCCCTGATGTGCCTCGCATGCACTTCACACCCTTCCCTTTCGCCCTTGGCCCGTTAGATTAGCGCCTTGGTCCTCGTTGCCGTCAAGGCCGGAAGGGATAAGAACGGGGAAGGGAGCTTCTTTGAAGCTCTTGAGCCTCAGTAGCCGGAAGCCGGGACGGCCATAGCTCGGGTGGGCCTGGTGACCTCCGAACTATGGGTGCTGGCTGCACGGCTCCGGGCATGTTGGGGCTGCAGCGCATGGGCAGCATGGGTCATCAGACCCTCCGTTGCTCTCGAAAGCTGAAGGTCCCCTGTTGCTGGAAGGCTCGGATGTCTTGGCTCCGGGCCAGGAAGGCCAGCGAAGACGACGCAGGTCCCTGTCATCCAGCCCGGACTGCAAGCTTGGAACCTTCCGGAGCGATTGTCCGATTGGAATCTGGCACGTCGCAGTCGACTCATTCATGAGGAGCCGGTGAGGTTGATGAAGCCTGCTAGGATCGCGTAGGACCGCCTCCACACTCCAAGCTCTTCGGTGTGGTATAACAGCTTAGCTTGCTCTCCTTCGTCCCGGCTCCCCTGAAGCACCAGAGGCCTCAGAGACCTCGGAGTATGACGGCCGAGTATGGGGAGAAGGCCTTGGACGGTCAACTCTGAGTCTGGACCGCTCCTCAAAGGGCCCCGGCTCTGAATGACCTTCAGATCTCGGGCCTCTGAGTCTTCAATAAGAGACTTTCCAAAAGGCAATGAACGAGGGGGGGCTGTTTTGAGGGCCTCCCGGCTGTAGCTGGGCTTTTGAGCTACCTGGGTCCTGGAAGCTCTGCTTGGGCTTTTACTGAATTGTTTTGTAGGCGACCCTGAGGGTCCCAAAAATCATCGACCTCGCCTAAGTAGTAGGGCTACGGCCAAGGCCCTCACACCTTGCAAGGGGTGTGAGGAGGCATGCAAAAACCTGGAAAATTATTTTGTGGGTTAAGGTTTACAGTCAGCGCCGAGGGCTCTTAGGCATAGGCACTTTGGGGTTTAGGGCTCAGGAGCCTTCCGTCGCCGTCCTCAGCATTGTCATGATGGCCCTCGTGCTGAAAGGCCCGCTTGCTCTGCGGTGCAATGGCCGGAAGGCAACTCCGGTCACCGACACGAGGGCACAACTGCCCAGCGTCGTGCTAAGAGCGCAGACGGGTTGCCATAGTTGTGGCCGCGTTCGGCTCCTGAGGCTGAACGGACTGCATGGAAGCTGGACGATGGCCCTACGGCCCGGTTGCTCATAGAGCTGCAGCTTGGACGTCTCCTGGCAATCCTCGCCCTTGACTGGGAGGATGCAGTTTTCTTGTACATCGCTCCGAGTCGGAGTCCTCCCCGGCTTTCGCTGCTTGGAGCTGTCAAGGCGACAGAGACTTGAATAGGCTGCCGGCGCTTTGGGGCCTTTCGGCAGGATGTGTTTGCCCAGCATTCGGGTGAGAGACGGTGTCGGCGAGGTCGACGAGCCTTGACGCATGAGCTCAGATTTGGCAGACTTCGTTCGATTCCGTGGCCAAAGATGTAATAAGCTGCAAGCTGCATCTCCCTGGTTGTCAGCTTGGGCGTCCGTAAGATCGTTTGCGTTGTGTAACTGACTGCCTAAGGCCTGCGACACGCATTGCCTGGCAGGTAATATCCCTGCTTCTCCGTGTGCTTCGTACCTCTAAGGCTCCTGCGTGCCTCTCAGGCCCCTCTTGGCCGGTCCTTGCTACAACACGGTGCTCTGCAGCTTTGTGCTGACTCCAGCTCTCCCGTCGCTGCGTCTTTGGAAGGAGCAGAGTCGCATCTGCTGCCAGGTGCCGAGGTTGGGTTTGGGGGGTATATTATACAAAAATTATACTAAGGAACCCCCACCAAAACCTGTTCTAATTATCAAGGCCCTACATTAACCCGGGCTTGATTCGCTGCGAAGCTGTGGACAGCCCACTTGCACTGTGCCGTCGCCGCTAGCGTCTCTTCACCGTTCTAAAGTGTGCTACAGCTTTTTCGTGGGAGCTTGATCAGGCAAATGATGTTTCCTGAAAGCCTTTGTGCCAGGCATTAAAGAGACCTACACAGTTGCGATTGTCGGGAGCTTGTTCCCGCCGGGTAGAGTCTGCCACCCCTTGCTTCCTGCATGCGCTGCGAAGCCACATTTGCTTGGAGCTGCTGGATGCTGTCCGGGACGGGGTGAAACTGCGAATATCTCCGAATCTGCGGATTGGAGCCTTAGAGGTCAGAGAAATTGAAGCATTTATGCCCAAGGGCGCCTCCATTCTTCGATCGTCTCCACAGAAGAGGCAGAGAGGCCATGAGGCATTGAAAGCCCCTGTCATCATCTGTCATCTAGTCGGTGACCGACATTTTCCAGAGTTCTTCTTCGTGACATGCTGGACCTGGATTATTGCGCTTTTCTATGCGCACCTGCGCGCCACACCGAGCATGACTGCCAGGGAGAACCCGCCGTGGCCGCAGCCCGGCGAGCTGTTTGCTGCACACTGCAGAGTCCCGAAATGGCTGAGACGAGCGGAGAGCTCTTCTTCCTGGGGTAGAATCCGAAGCTTTAGGCGTGCAAGCGACCAACTGCTAAGTTTGCAGAGTTTTGAAGAGATTAGTCCCGCTGCCCGCTGCTGTCAGCCTCGACCTCACTTAGGATCTGCCCCGGCGAATCTCGGGCCTCAGGTCCCAGGTCGCTAGCACCTCCGTCCGACACGCTGCCCTGCCTGTCTGCTCTTTGCATGCTCGATGAGGTGGTCTGGTGATCCCTGAGGCACGCAGCTGCCTACGAATCCGAGGCTTTTTGCCCCTGGGTCTGAGGTCGGCCTTCAGAGGAGGCGGGCCTCCCAGAGATGGCAAGCTGTGCCGTGCAACTTGTGCAGACACAAGCCGCGACGTCTGCACATCTCCGGAAAAGCGAATTTTCACAGGCATTTACGTGCCTGTACCTCTTCTGGCGGTTCAGAGTTGTTTGTTCCTGTTCGCAGGAGCGGTTAGGCCCCTGCGTAGCACGGTAAGATACGGCAAGCTCCTGTCTCAAAGTCAGTTATTCGTGACCACTGCACCTGGACCGTGTTGCCAGATGGTACGCATGCGGGCCCGCCCCGGAGCTGTAATCTTCGCAAGCAAAGAGGCAGTGTCTTGACGGGCCATGTGCTCAGGTGAAGGCTTGTGCAGGACAGCATGATGCCGATGGCCCGCTTGGGGTGCAAGCGGGCCTGTATGGCTTTCGGCAGGTCAAGTTGCCCTCGCCACTACCCGCGACTCGTGCGCATTCTGCGGGATGCCGGCATCCCGTCCCTCGATTCAAGCGCCATCAGCATGTGTGTCGAGTCAAGACGTAACTTTCTTGGCAGCGCCGACAACGCACTGCAGGGCATTTGTGCAAAAGGAGCTGTTGTAGTGAGGACAGCGACGACGTGACTTCCGACTCCACCGTGATCAGTTCGACAGTAGCGGTTGGTTTTAAGCGATCGCCCATCTTCCAGGAACTTGGCTACAACATGCTGGTGTGGACGTACTCCTTTTCTAGAGAGGTTTTTATTTTTCCCTCGAAGTGATGTGATAACTGGTTTGTGGTCGATGTTCACGGCGAAAAGTCTTGATTTTTGCTGCCCCTCCTAACCGTGGCAGTGTGGGGCAGCTTCAGGAACCCCAGCATCCTGTCACGATCCCTGTACTTTGACATAGTATTACATAGTCCTACTCCACCCCTGTGATTCACTCGAAAGGGCTCTGAGAATTTGAAAAGCTGTGGAGAAGCCGAGGAGCAGTAGGATGCCACATGCCGGCATGAAATGAAGCCCGGCTTCAACTAGCTGGGCATGAAGGATAGGGTTTGGGGTTTAGGGTTTAGTGTTTGTATTCAGCGGACTCGACCGCAACTCTCGCGAGGCTCTTGCTGAGAATTGCTCGGTAGCAGCTGCGCAGGTGCAGGTGGGTTTCCCGGGTGTAAGAGCCTACACCGCAGGCAAGATGTAGTGAGCTGCAGCTCAGATCTGCTTCTAGTCACTGTCCGAGCCATGGATGGGGCAGTGGTCCCAAAGCAGCATCTTTAGGCTTCCTGCAAGGCCAGAGGTGGTTTCAGGCTAGAGTTTAGGGTTGAAAGGGGCTCGGGAACCGATGCCATGCCCCGTCGGATGTGGAGCGCTGATCCGGGTGCCATGAACGGCTGAGCCTCATCGTATCCTGACCCCTGGCCTGGTCTTTGCCTTGTGTGCCTCGCTTGCCAAGACAAGCTCAGAAGCTACAGCCTTGTCCAATCTGGAGGAAGATCTGTGTTGCTTTCTGGGCCGTGATCAACAGCCTAAGAGGCACAAGTGATGGCAAGAAGTGCGTGAAAGTCGTCCCGCTCTTGTTTTGGCATGATGGGCTACTTGAGCAGTTTCCCCATCTGCAAAAACGCGTTTTTTCGGCGACGGAGCTTTTAGAGCTTTTCGCCAAGCAGAGAGGTGAATTATGTGGCAGACAGGTTCAGAGCCGCCCTCGTCGCTATAGTAGCCTATTGTAGTCCCTTAAAGAAGGGCTTAAGGAGCCCTTTGAAGGAACCCATGGTTCCTCCCAGGACTGCCTCTCGTGATTCGGGCAATTTGGTTTAGGTTCCGCTCGCTTTGGTCTTGTATCAGGGTCGCAGGGCTTTCATGGATTGAGATGAGCCTTGGAAGCGGGCTTGTTGTCGAGCTGTCTCCGAGGTGCCTCTCGAATGCTGGCATCTAAGTTGCCGTAAAGCCTTAAACCTGGAGCTCTAAAGTTTATCGAGTTTGCTTTTCCCCAACGAAGATATCCACAAGGCATCGGAATGTGGCCGCTGTAAGTTCCGACTCCGCGACGATCAGTTCCTACTCTGGTCTTTTTGTGTATCCGGTTTGGGTGGCTCGGATTTTGGGATAGGTGCCGGCTTCACTTGCTTGGAGCATTCTGTACTGAGGAGGCCCTACCAAGCGGTTCAAGAACGGTAGACACAAGATTCGAGGGCTTGAAGCGAACTTGTCGATTGGTCTTGTGAAGGCCCAGTGCGTCGTGCCTGAGAAACCTTTCGGCGTCTGCCTTCGGTGCAGGCGCTGAGGCGCTGAGGAAGTGCCAGAAATGTCACGCCACCGGATCCCATCCCATCCTGGAAGCAACCTTCTGCGCGTTTCGTGCATCTCTGTGGCAGAGTTGCAAGTCCTGCACACGCTTTGGCAGAGGCACTGAAGCAGCTGCAAGGGGCGAAGCAGCATTGGGCTTTGGCCTTTGTGTCTGTGCGAAGACAGCCGTGGCTGCACAACTTTCCCGAAAGCTGCAGAAACCAGCCCGACTCTACTCGTCTAGCCTGGCTGTTAAAGTCCCAACCCGGCTTGTCCAACAGGCGCCTTGGCAAGTGCATGTCAGTGTGACCGAGGGGAAAGGGAAGCGGTGAGGTCACGCTGTTGCGAGCTCCGTTCATGACTCCAGGGATGACCCCTAAGACCCTAAGCCCCGAGCACTGAAGCTTAAACCCTAAAGCCATACTGACTGGACCTTGGCTATCGGAAGATAGCAGCATCTCAGGAATTGGAAAGTGCAGGTAGGCCCAAGATAAGACCAAGTACCGCTCAGGCCAGTCTTATCCCGGCCAAGAGGCCAGTCATGGCAGAAGTCTCGTAAGCGCAAAATTCAAGGCATACGCAAGTTGAGCAAATTCAGCATGCCGAAGGAGGGCTCCTGCCACGCAGCGCGGAGGTTCCGTGTGCTTTGGGGCGCCCTTGGCTCGGAAAGCTCTGAAGACTCGCCCCTCACAGAGCTACGGCGCGGGCCCGCTCGCGAAGGGGACAACGAACTGAGCTTCTTTGGTGGGTTTTCAAGGGGCCCACCTTTGGGGCAACGTGTGGCAGCAAGGGCTGCGAGAACCTTCCCAGACGTGTCTCCTTCCAGCATCGACGTCTTTTTCAAGCCTTTGGACCTCGGAGTGCTACGGGCCGGGAACTCCTATTTCTCCGTGGAGCAGCGGCAGTTGGATCCTGTGGTTCAGTGCAGAGCGTAGGTTCTTCGTTCTCTGACAGGACTGGCATCGTGGAAGTAAATTCGCTCCGGCTTCGTTTTACCGTGGGTGATGGACAAAGTCTGCGGTGCTGCGGATGTGCAGCCGCGCTGAGCCGCTGAGCCAGGCCTCTCCCGCCTGGTCGCCGCAGTACGATACGCCACTCACTTGCGCTACTGGTGCCCGTGTCCTGCGGCACACATTTCCCCCCGTTGGAATGCAGACCGCCAGCTGCCGTCAGGAAGTCTAGTTAAGTCTAATCGCTTAAAAGCGGCTGAGTGCAGCTTACAGCCAAGGAGGCGGCCAAGTACGTCGGCTGCAGGCTGCCCTTTTCTGTCATGTCCCCACTGTGTAAGTGCCTTGCCCTGCCGGAGCTGCCCCAGCTCCCGAGCGAGCCCAGGGGTGTGCTTTCCCTTCCGAGCTGAGCGGCGGCATGGCAGAAGAGATTTAGATTTGCGACTGTCCACAACCGATGGTAGTCCTTTGCAGACATGCTTCAGATGCTTCAGATGCTTCAGATGCTTGAGGCTGACGGATTCTCTGTCACGAATCTCAGCTTGTGATATTTCTGCTCAAGAGTCCAGACAAAAGGACTCCCGCTGTAGGCGCAAACGGACAAGTCAAGCCACGTCATGCAACCAGCATTATGGCTGTATGGCCCGAAACAAACATACAACTCCCGTCCCTGGGAATACAGACCGTTCGGCCTCACAATTAAGTGTCGTTCTGTTGCGAACTTGTGTACACTTGTCATTTTTCACCGCTATGCACACCGTTATGATCTAGCCTGTGCCTGTTTGCGATCGGCACCGGCTCTGCAGCTGGAAATCTGCTTTGGGAGGAGCTTAGCCCGGCCAGAGGTTTTGTGAGGGCATCCTACCCCTTGGACTCCAAAGCGCCCGGCGTACACTTCTCAAAGAAGCCTTGCTCAAACATACTCGGCTCTTTTTCCAAGGTCTCCGTGACCCTTTGTCAAACCGAAGCATGCATCATGTCGATTTCTGGACAGGACTGTGCCCTACCCCATGTTGCTCGGCTGCACAAAGCAACGGCCACGACATGACAAATACCAAACACCGGAGTTACCTGCCTACCTGCCTGCCTACCTGCATGCCTACCTGCATGCCTACCTGCATGAATTCATACTTGTTATATGTACATGCACACACACGAACATATTGTACAAAAGTATATAGAACCTGAAATTATGTACAAATGTAGAATGTGGTATACGTACATAGTGGCAAAATGTACGTGGTTTCAAGCCAAGGCGTCGGGTGAGAGTCGTACTGCGTCTTGTGATGTCTTGTGAGTCTTGTGTCACCACTGTCTTGCTGGTGAGGCTCCATGGCTCAAGCGCTAAACCCCAAACCGTGGCAAGCCTTCGGTGTCGACGCTAAGAAATGTCCTAGCGCCTGAAACCTAAGTGGCGCAGCTTGAGGATCTACAACTTCTATGCCTTTGGACGGGGCCGTAAGCTTCTCTGCCGCGAGGAGATGCACGGGCGGCAAGGGTTCTAGTTTCTGGCACGCTTGAGGGGTAAGCGCGAGCTAGAAGTGGCAGCGTGACAAGTATGATACAGAAAGCTGTGTAGCTTTTTGCTTACAGTGGAATGATACTGTCTGTAACTACTCTTTCAGAGGGAAAACCTATCTGCTCGATGGAAGGAGTGGAATCGAACTCGCCCTTGCCGAGACATTGCAGAGGACAGGGTCCCAATTTGCGTGAGGTCTCGTGGAGATCCCCCTTTTCTCACAGGAGACGAAGTATGTCAGCGGCGTACTGATCACCCTGAAGTCCTTCGCACAGTCCAGCTCCAAGTAGTTTCACGTTGGTGTTTCCAGGTATGTCTGTTCCGCTGGTGCATTGTGCTCGTCTTTAACTTTATTGACAACGAGTCCAGCGTCGATTCGTCTCCGTCCAGGCTTGAATGCAACACAAAACAAGGCGACCCCCCAGTGGGGTGTCTAGTTCTCTCTCTCTCTCTCTATAGGTATGTGTGTGTATATATATATATATATACTTATGTATGTGTGTGTGTGTGTGTGACTGACTGCCTGGCTGGCTGGCTGGCCGGCTGACCTGATTGACTGACTGACTGACTGGCGGAAGGAAGGAAGGAAGGACATCATGTATGTATGCATGTATGTATGCATGCATGTATGTATGCATGCATGCATGCATGCATGTATGCATGTATGCATGAATGCATGTATGCATGTATGCATGTATGTATGTGTATGTGTATTTGTACTTGTACTTGTACTTGTACTTGTATATGTATATGTATATGTATATGTATATGTATATGTATATGTATATGTACGTATATACTATATACGTATACATATAAAACAGCAGGTATGTGTATATTATGTATATGCATATGTCTGTGGCTTTGTATAGGTATATGTACTCTCGCCCTCGCAGAGCAGCCAGGCAGCTGGGCCCGTCGAACACGCAAGCCTTCCTGTCCTACACCACCTCACAGTGCGCTTCACAATTCTTGTTCTTGCTCTTCTTGATTGCTGAGGTACGAGTAGCCTACGACTCTGACTCTTACCGCGTGTCCACCTTTCCCTAAGTCTCGTGCTGTTTCTGCTGCGATGCTGTCCAACGAGGATCTGCAATACATTGCGGCTGTCCTGGGGTGCCTGGATGCTTTCGGAATCTCTCGGATGAGGGAAACGATCCGTGCTGTTCGGATGGGAATCTGCGATTCAGAGTTCAGCGCTTAGGGATGCTTAGGGTCTAGCCAAATCCATCAAGCGTACTGACCTCATGAATGATAGGCAATGCTGTGCGAACCATCAAGAACTAACCGTGAGTTAACTTTCTCGACATGCTTGCACATTCGGCTTTCGCAGAGCTCCATAAACTATTTCCTTCTTTGCGTAGATTGAAAACTGATGGAAAGCACATCGCAATCGCACCGGTCGTGCGCTTTCTCGACTCTGAGCTTCCTGCAGGTACAAGCTGCACTCCTTCGAGACCATCTCTGGGTGCGGCACTCATCGGAGCTAGATTGAAGAGCTGCGTCCTCTTGTATTTTGCCCTGCTCTGCGGTTTGTGACAGTATGATGTGCTTAAGGTCGGGTTGAGCTGTTTGAGCTGTATGAGAATGACTTCAGAGACACACTGCGCTGTGAATTTCAAGCTGGAGGGCCCTGAACCCCAAAGCAGGGCCTGAAAACAGGTTGCTTATCGTTGCACAGG